CAACGTTAGCTCCAACCTAAAAGCTAATGGAGCTTGATTTTCTAACCTTATATGTGTTACGCTAAACGTAAAGGTAATGTGACCAAGAAGGAATCGAAATCATATCACGAGGCCGATGCGAAGAATTTAGGTAACTTTTACTACCGAAACGTGCACGTTTACGCGGAGACTATTTTTAATTCCTGCTCGAAAGGAGAGCTAAGGTTGATCGAACTTATTCGAAAGCTTCTCCCGGCAACCACGAAACGATCAATGCCGTCGGGATTCGAAAAGGAAACAGCCCTTTTTTCGGCTGTTTGAAGGTGATTTTGTGAAAGATCTTTTGGTTTGTTTCGAGCTACCCCACGCCGATTCATGCCATGGAAATGCAGCTGACCCACTTCTTTGATCGCCCACAGGGATACCTCGCCCAACTTGCAGGCAGGACGACACCCTTTCGCAAATACACCCGAAAAATGCGAAGCAACCTGTCGCTGAAGAACATTTCTCGAATGAATCTGTTTTCGACAACAACTGATCTTTAATCTCAACAACAGCCATCGTAGATATATGCAGCCAGATGTATAGTTGGGTCCCGTCGCTGTATGTCGTACAAATAAGAATGAAGAGATCTCACATGACGATTTTGAGGGGCGGAAGGGGAGGCTTTTCTCTTTCGTGGATCTTTGGCATTGGTTCGGACGCATCTCGAATCGAATCCTGTGACCAAAGTATCTCGCCGTTGCGTGCCGTGAATACTGTACCTCCAGCTGCATGTCTTCGTTTCCCAATCGTGCACGTCCGTCCATCCGGATATGAGTGTTCGCCAGACCCCGCTGTCGACACTTGGCCAATTCTGGGTATTCGCTCCTGTTTTTGTTTCTTTTTTGGCCTTATTTTGCATATCCGTATATTAAATGTTTGCCTTCGAGGATTAGCAGGCAGGCATATACGGGGACTTTTTTTTGGGCACAATTTTTCGTTGTAGATTTTGCCCTTCGTTTGCGAAGGTAAGAATAGCTTTCGTCGCCAAGGTCCTACCCGCCATAAATAATGTAATTTGGAGAGTTATCGGGAAGGCGACTGTATATTCCCCGAGCAGCCAGTTTCACGTCTGATCATATTGATGCCTTCTGAATATCGAGATAGAGATCGCGCATCCGTAAATGGTTGGCGCATCAATTCTTGAGCCGACCAACATTCTTGGCCGTTTGTTGAGTTTGTTGAAGAAGGAAGGCAAGGAGATCTTGATTCGGAACAAATTCATGATTCGGTCATCTTCCTCTCCGGTCTTGTCTTGATCCTTTGCATATGCTGGATGCTGAGAGCTCTGTCACCGTCCAAGTTGGATTGGAAATCCCTTGCTGCCAACGTGGGATGCCTGCGATAGGAGAAACTAGAACTGATGCTTTCTGGGGTATCGTTCGGTCACTATCAGTATCAGTGGCTCCATCGATATGCATCTCGAGCCAAGTGGGCAACAAGCGGCGTCGACTGAACTAGCCGAAATTGGCATATATCGATATTGGAGCACCAATGAAAAAGCAGAGACATGATTGCAGCGGATGATGATGGGTGATGTATGATAGTGGAAAGGTTGTCCTGGTTGGGGAGCCTAAAGAACTAGCTCGATGAGCTAGAAGAAGAGAATGGCCCGAGGAGGTCACATTTCCTTCTGATTGTTATTGTCTCTCCGCTATTAGCCCCGTTTGGGGTATATATTGCCCCCCCCAAAGGCTTCTACCTCGACGGCTTTTCTCTTCCCTCTCCACCACACAAAACAACTTCAGAACAACACAAACCAGCAAATCCAATCAACCCCTCTCGCGCTTAACAACCGCCCCACACATCCTCAGTCAACCAAACCATCCGGAGGCAGCATACCAGGCTCCTTTTTATATATCTGCTCGACTCTTTTATTGCTCTTACCTTTTATATTCTTTTGAACATCTACGGCTTCACCAAGCTGTCGATATCAAATATTAACAAAAAAAAAATACACACAGCATATATCATCCCAAATCAACTCATATCTTCTTCGTCTGTAAGGCTTCAGCCAAACGAGAAGGGATATCAAGTTTAATTTAGAGATCATATCATACTGCTACTTCTTCTTTTTCAAATCAACCAATTCCAATTCCATATCAACTTGAGAAATTTTCAAACAAGACTATTCATTGAGAAATACCACAATCATGGCTTCAAGTATTCTTATGAGTAATTCCAAACAAAATTCTAATTGTGCCATGGTGGCTCCGGCCGCCAGTCTCTTGTCCACAATTACGAATTCGAAACCGAATCCAACTTCGAATTCAAATTGTACTTTGGTGATCGAGAACCAAGCTCTCAAAGTGACAAATTTGACTCCTGATGTTGCTGCTGCCTCTGCTCCTCCTGCTCCTCCTGCTCCTCCTCACTCTGCTCCTCCTTCCGATGGCAAGTCACGCACAGTCAATACGACTACTCTCAGCGTCGTCATCCCTCCCTCCACCTCCTCGAAACCTCCAATCAATGACGTGCAGCAAATGATCCTCGTGAAGGAAGTTCAACTTCCGTCTCCTTCGAGTTCACGCTCGAGTACTTCCAACTTCAGCTCGAAGGAAGCCGGTAAACATCACCAAGTCCGTGTTGTCGGCTGGAAGGAGTGCAAGGCTGTGGCCAGGACTCTCGCAGAGGCCTTCAAGGATGACGATGTATCTTTCTACTTCCTCCGAACCGACGACGCTGCTCATCGGTCGGAAGCAGAATTGTGGAAGTTACATGTCAAGGTTTGCGAGTATGTTGTTGCCGCGCACTGTATGCACGGGCTGGTACTAAGTATCGGCGAGAATCACGAAGGCGTCGCCTTATGGTATGCATAACGGCACTTCCCGTAACAGGGGTGTCGAAACAACTTTTTTTTATACAGTTAATCCCTCTTGCGAGTCTACTAATCAACCCCACCCTAAACAGGATGCCCCCAAGCAAAGACTACGATGACGTCTGGTCCATCTTCCGGAGCGGTATGTGGAGATTGTACTATCAACTCACCAAGGAAGGCCGAAGAAGATATTTTCAAGAAACCTTCAAACTAGCTGCTCAAACCAAGTATCTATACACTGGACAGATTGCCACTGAATCTGCTCTGGCACCTTTTCCCCGCCTCTGTCCAACGCTTAGCGTTTCATGTTGGACCGGTATCTAATACATACCGCGGTTCTTAAACGAACCAGAAGATGTCGCATCTTTCACCTTTTATTTCTCTTTCTGTGAGCTGTATTATCCCCCCTTCTGATTCTCTGAAAATCCTAATTCACTCCTTGGGTGTGACCCTTCGTGGTCCGGCTTTTGCGAGGAACTCTTATTTATAGGATGGATGTTCTGGGTGATAGAGATGCAAGTTCATGGTACTTGACTTTTCTAGGTACGCTTCCAGCGGCAAGAGGGCTCGGTTATGCGAGGAAACTAGTCGAATATGTTACCAAGATGGTAAGTTTTATTTTATAGCTACACGTAGACTTGGAATGTTTGTTAATGATGCTTTGACCAGGCGGATGCAACCGGCGCACCCTGTTACCTCGAAAGCTCTCACCCCCATAACCGCAAGATCTACGAGCGCTTCGGCTTCGACTTTAAGCGACAGGTGCACCTTACGCGCGTTAACCGCGGGACGAATCCGATCCCTTGGGATATCATGGTCAGGGAACCAGTGGTATGTACCTCCGTTCCGACTGGTAAAGAGGCTTAAGTGAATGTTGTGGACGTTAGGAGGCACGTGGTGCGGGAGAGACATACATTCGTTTGCCATTCCTCCAATTTTTGCGTGTGACCTTTTTTGGTTTGAGAGGTGAAAGAATAGGTTAGAGGATTCGGTGGGGGTCGTCCGGAGTGTTTATATGCCGCAATACCCAACTATCGTATTGTCACCCATTTTATATTCTCTTCTGAAGGATTGAGGGTAGTAGTAGTCCGTCCTAACGGCTCTGTCTGCTATCTATCTTCATCCTGAAGGAGGGGGTATCACTGGGATCAGTATAATTGTAGGGTTGTCCATATCATCCACTTTGGAAGCTTCAGCCGTATCTACTGTAAAAAATGGTTTCAACCATATCCTTCTTTCATTCTCGCCAGTCGAATCGCTGCATGCAAACTCTCCTTTGCCACGTTCCTCCGCTCCCTACGTCGTAAGCTAAACTTTCATCAATCAACGGATTGCATGGCCAAGAAAAAAAATATTCTACAGGGTTTTTTTTTTGATTTGATTTTTGCGACGAACCATATCTTTCATTTTTAAACTTCCACGACAGAAAGTTTATACATCATTTTCCACTCTTGAGACACAAATGTGGCATTTCTGTGGGAAATCCAAACGTACTACGAAACGAAACACATTGGGCTGGAGTTCCAACATGATCTATATTTTCCGGCGCTCTTTTCTTTATTTCTTTCTCTTAACATCTTTTCCTGGGAAGTGTTTTTACTATTTCTTTCATCTTACGATCTGATTTCATGGTTGTGGCGTTGTTTTGTTTTAGCGTGGGCAGAATACCTTGAGCGACGACAAACATGGCTATTGCATATTTCGGTGATCTTTGGTGTTACAAATCGTTTTAGCTTGTGGCTTTTGGGAGTGCTTTTTTCTGTTGAAGTTTCATTGTTATGTCCTTTCTTCATCATGATGACTCGATGTTTTTGACGTTTTCCTTATCTTATGACTCTTTTCATATGTCTTTCGGATGACTTTGTTTCAACATTGACATGACCCAAATCCCTCCTCAGTTCCTTCTACTTCATGACTTTCATTTCACACATTATTTATCATAGCTTAGCTCTAGCTACCAAGAAACATAAAAACAGAATCACAATACAAAGATCCCACAGAAACAGATCGTGGGTGTGATTATCACTACTCTCTCCTTCCTTACTTTACTTTATTACTAAATGAGCAGCCGTAGCTGCAAGTTAAAGTCTTTATATAATGCATGGGATACATCGCACCTCACGACCGGAAGCAAGAAGCGATGCATCTTCTTCCCTAGCTAGCGTTTGTGGTTGAGTGGTACAATTCGTCGTTGCCATTGTAAGATGATATCGATGAGGCCCGGGTTCGATTCCCGGCGAACGCAGATGTATTATTCTTTTGCGGATGGTGAGTTTGGACATTGAGGTTTTAAGAACGGCTTTTTTTGTAAAAATTTACCGAGATTCTTACCATAGAGGGCTGGTGAGGCTGCTGGGGTTACGTTTGATCTAACTGTGTTCGGTTTGATGATTGAGAGTTTTATCGTTTGAAATTCACAAAACTTTAAATAGACTTGTTGTATAAGGCTATTGAAATGGGAGGGTACATTGTTGTGTCCCTTGCATCGACAAGTGTTCATCGGGGAGAGGGTTTAAAGCTTCAAAACTCGATAAATCCCGTGGTATATAAATGCTATTCAAAAAAATGCGGCATGAGAAACATATGTCATGCAAACATGAAATCAAGAAAAAAACAAAAGTAAGAATAATATACAATGCAGATGCTGCAAGGCATCAAAAGAAAAAAACCGGGTTGCTGACTCCAGAAAAACGCCGCCTTGAAGGCTCTTTTTTGTCGGTTTCGTATTTTTCGAATATCAGACGTTGTTTTCGTCCTCCCTTGGTGGTATCTTATCGCCCGCCGGTTGCACCTCAGGCACAGATTTTTCATCAGCGTTTGGATTTTCACCACCCATCCTCCTTCGTTTCCGAGAGCTATGCACCGAGCCGTATTTGGGAACCGCTTTGTCTTCCGATGACTGTGCGATTATTTTTTCACCATTGATCTCGACCGGCACGCGTTCGAGATCATCTAGCGAAACAATCTTATTGGGTATAACTTTGGGTTTCAAGTTTTGCCCTCCTTCGTCTGCCTTTGCTGGTTCTTGATCAACCTCGCTTTTTTCAGTTGATTCCTGACTATCATCCTGATGGCCCTCGTCGGATCGCTTCTCCTCCAACTTCATCGCCGTAGGATGGTTAGGCATTCCTGCGCCTTCTCCCATGACATTAGGTGTATCCCCATGAGGCACCGCCTCCTGATCACCCTCAATTTTCTTCGGTGGTAGTCGTCGTATATTAGCGTTAGGATCTAGATTTGCCTGTCTCTCCGCAGCAATTTGCGCAGCTTCTGCCCTTTCTTTCTCTGCCCTCTTTGTTTCCTCTTCCTTCTCCCTCACCTCCGCCTCCTTCTTCCTCTTTGCCATAACAACCTCATCTCTCCCACAAAAGAGATCATCAACACTATCCTCCACCCCATCATCTTTCTTCACGCCCTCACATTGCCCCAATATCTCCTTCTTATACTCTCTCGCAATCTCCAGCAGCTGCTCCATCTTTGTCTTCTTCCCGTCCATTCCCAACATCGGCATATCGGACCATAACGGCAATTTCCCTTCAGGTAGTAAGTTCAACACATTGTTAACCCTCATGACTGACTTCTCATCCCTCGTGGCACCTCTTCCTCCTTTCTTTTCCGTATGGTAAACGACCAACGATTCGGACGGTTCGTAGTTGGGGTACAACATCACATAACCTCCCGCCGTTAGAATTTCAGAATAGTATTTTATCCAAGATGGGAGGAACTTTGAAGGCGGGGTGGGAAGACTGTAATCCACGTTTTGGGTATAGGCTTTATCGAGACGTTTGGCAAGGTAGAGGTGTAGAAGACGCCAATGATTACCAAAGAAGAGGGTCGCATGATGGGATGGGGCGGCGTAGAAGAATGGTGTCAGTTCTTCTTGGTCTGACGGCTGTGAATCCGAGGTAGAAGACTGGGTAGTGAGCTGAGAAGAAGGGAAGTATTCGCCAGTAAATGAGCGGAGCGGAGTATCAAGTGAGATTCCATATATCAGGTTTTTGTCCAGCCCCGGCTGGGCGTTGGAGTATTTGTATTCCAAGAGGGCGTAGAATAGGAAATGGAAGTAGAACGGAGAGAGCTCAATGTTGGGCGAAAGGTATAGAACGGCAGAATCTGGGGAGTTTGGATAGTACGATTCGGTGAATGCGATAGGGTTGTCATCAAAGGAATCGGCCTTCGAGAAAATACGATGTCGGACGAAAAGTCGGTCTTTAGATGGCCATGTGAACCCATTGACAAAATCACGTATCGACTTGTCAGTATCAGGGTCAAGATCGATAAATAGTCGAGGAAGGTCGGCGGTAAAGTAATTGGCGTTTTTGAGGGATTTGAGGAGGCGAACCAGCTGTCCGCTATGAGCGTCAGCATGGATCACAATATCTATCGAGGGCTTATGCCATGCAGCTAGGGATGCAGCATCAAGCTTTTGCAACCAAGGAATGGTAGAGACGTCCTTGGGGAGCTTGATATGCGTAGCACCGAGCTCCTTCGCTCTCCGAGCGATCACGTCCTGAAACCATAGAGGTTCTCGATCTGCGTCTGAGATGAAGACGGTAGGTGAAAAATAGTCCCTCATGTATTTGAGTGAATTCTTCAGAGATAGTCCCATCCGGTCGTCTGTCGATATGCTGGCATAGTCTGGACGACCGTCGTGTACCACAACCCCGCAGCCTTCACCAGCCAAACCATTAGCCTTCTTGAAGAATTCGATAGATAGCTCGTTCCTGCCAACTAATGCTAGATGCACCATGTTGCGTTTGATCTGGGACATTTCACAAGCAATTCCAGCGATGATGGATGCCGTGTTCATATTTGCAGCCACGAACACCACGTGACGATTTTGAAGCCTAAAACTATACTGTTGGATCTTGTAGAGGGTTTCGTAGAGGCCAAGGAATCGTATCGGTCCATTGTAAGAGAACTTGGATATGTTTGGATCGCGAGGTTTCATGGAAGCATCGACGGGAACAGCATTATGTGAAGCCGGAGCAGACGAAAATTCGCGATCTCCTGATGGACCTGGAGGCGTTCCGAGGTCTCCTGGGTGATCGGAAGGGGGGCCGTCAGCGAGAAGGAGCACGTCGTTCCACCATCGCGAATGTAGCAACAAGTAAATTATTGTGCAGATGGAAAAAAATATGAATACGGTCCGCCGTTTTCTCCTGAACCGAAGGGAAGAGTGCCAATTGGAGTCAGCATTGAGGGAGAGCGGTCGAGGACGGCCGAGATCGTCTTTGTCACGGTATGTAGAAGGTTTGGACATTGCTGCTGCATATAGGGACGCGATTCAGCAGCGAGTTGAGCTACGGCTTCGCCTGGCCGGAAGGCATCAAGACTATCGACTCTGGAGACAGCAAGGGCGGGGAAGAGGGGCTGAAATGACCACGAGGACGAATGTTGTTGGAGTTGAAGTCGAGACCAGGGAATGTGAATGAACGGATAAGGTTGGTGATGCAATGATGGTTCAGCTCAACGTCGAGGCAGCAGAAGAAGAAGTAGAACTGGCCTGTCTCGATTCAACCCGCCACCAACAGAATAACATCATTCCCATTTAACCCGTCCCACGATACCGCGCCCACGTCCACCCTTCGCACGGCGTTCGAGCTTCCGCTTTCGATATCAAGCCGCTGTGGCCTGGACGGGTCCTTCTGTGGGGTACCCGTACGCACTAGTTCCGATTGGGCGTCCTGCATGCTGGTCCCTTCCATCTCGCGAAAAATCTCCATCTGAGACGTCTGGACTCGGACCCTTCCAGACTCAGCAAACCTCTCTCTGCTTTCAGGTACGGTTCAGGTACTGGAATGTGCGATCGCCTCATTCTATTTTATCATTCATGTGCTAAATATTTCTTATCAGAGGCTCGATATCATCCATGTCCAACCCACCGGCGTCGCTGTCCAGCAACTGGAAGGCCCTGCAGAAATCGCTGAAGCGCAAGAGCCCAGTCGATGAGGAATCGCTGAAGTCCAGCAAAACTTCATCGCCACCAGTCGCCGCAAAACGGCCCAAAACCTCTGGCACGACCGAATCTACGACGAAGAAGAGCATGGCTACTTCACAATCCACCAATGGCACCCCTAGTAACGGAACAAAGCTAGTTTTGAGAACCACAGCTGTCGCTAAATCGCAAAAACTGTCGTCGACGTCCGACATACCGAAATCACAGGCCTCCACTACTTCTACCTCGACACTTGGTTCACGAAAGTCCGCTATAGCATGGGCAAAAGAACACGATTTGGATCCCACGGCTGTCACAGAAGCCTACTCTTCAACTTCGACGACAACTACATTAACTTCTTCAAATCCGGCGAAGTCTTCAGAAGCCGGTCGGTACATTGCGATAGATTGTGAGATGGTCGGTGTGGGCCCTCCGGATAACGAACAGTCCGCTCTCGCTAGGGTTTCGCTGGTGAATTACAATGGTCATTGCGTTTTGGATACGTTTGTGAAGCCAAAAGAGAGGGTGACGGATTGGAGAACGTGGGTTAGTGGAGTCAGCTCCAAAGACATGGCCAAAGGTACGCTTGAAAATACGACCTAAATTACTAGGCGTTCGGCTGATGGTAAATGGATTGTAGCTATAACTCTCGAAGAAGCGCAGCGAAAAGTTCACGAAATAATCGACGGCAAGATTCTGATAGGTCATGCCATTCATCACGATCTTGACGCAATGTTTCTCTCACATCCGAAGCGCGACATCCGAGATACATCACGCCATCCTCCGTTTCGCAAAATTGCCAAGCAGAAAAACCCGGGGTTGAAAAGACTAGCGAAAGAGGTTCTCGGAGTGGAAATTCAAGGTTCAGCACACAGCAGTGTGGAAGATGCCAGAGTCACCATGTTGCTGTATAGGAAAGAGAAGAAAGAATTCGAGAAACTAGCGGCCGAAAGGTTTGGAACCATACAAAAGGGCAAACAGAAACAAATGCCAAGGGGGAACAAGAAGAAAAAGAAGAAGAAGCGACAGACGGATGAGAAGACCAGCTGCACGAATGGAACGGATGCCATGCTTTCGAAGGACCAAAATCAGAGTGAAAGTGACTCCGAAGAATCCGACGAAGACTTCGACGACTGGTTGGCTTAGTGTGTTTATTTTTGCGTCTGCGGCGGGCGGCGGAGTAGGATTCCGATACATTGTTTTTGCACTTTTCTGCGGCGACACTGCTACATTATTACGATACCCTTGAAACGAGATATAACAGAGTGTATTATTATTGTTCACTGTTGGACGGACGGAGTAATAGA